TTTTCACTTTGTATCATCTGCTGACGATATCCAGATGAGCTGTAATATCCAGTTGACGACAGCTAAATATATTGTCTGTTCAAGGCTAATGTCGAAAATCTCAAAAGCTAGTACCAAACACCAGTGAACTGAAGAAATTATAAAATAAATTTTAGAACTTAACTTATTCATACAAAATAATATCATTGGGTCTACATCTGGACAGTCCAATGATTTTTTGAAAAATTAAAAAAATCGTCCAGAAAACCTGTACCAGTCTATGTATTTCGGATGGATATTCCATCCATCTGAAATACATAGACTGGCCTGTACAAAATATTTTGCTTAATACACGCTGGTTTCCATTTGTGCATGTTAGCGTTTAATAAGCGGAAAAATATTTAAATTTTGGCTGGAATTCAAACCACATTTCACAAAAAATAGAGGACTTTTGTTTGGAATGCATTTACATTTGTACGTTACTTACTATGTAATTGCACATACAGCAAAAGCGATAAATTATCAATATTCAATTATTCACGTTTTGATCTGAACAATATGAATCTTTAAATTGCAATCAAAAATACACTGCCAAAGGGCTTGAAAGTAATGCATAAACGAGTGGAATTAAAAAAAATATTTTAAAGCCCCATAGATCCGCAGAAAAATTAATCAATTCAATCAAAATTATATGATTTGAATTCGAGCCATATCGACTTTCGTCAAAAAAATTAATGAAAATACACAGAAATTCGGTAGTTTGTCGTACTAGAGCTACTATTCACAAGGTCGATCTAGTATTCTGACAATGTTTTTTCGAAAGGGCATCTAAAGACCTACAAACTGAGCGATTATAATCAAAATCATAGAATTTGAACTCGAGTTACAACGTACAAATCAAGTTGTCTTGAAGTTCCCATACAAATTCTTAGGAAAAACCTCATTTACAAGAAAAATAATTTTCTTGGACGAATTTTCCAAAATATAGTTTTCGTGGATTCGGTTCAGGACTCTGAAAAAATAGGTTTCAAGTTGATAGCTGATACCTTACTTGAGTTATTCATGGTACAAACAAACAAACCGAAAACGTTTCTAAAGCTTGATTATACATCAAGCAATACGGTTGATTTCGTTTCTGACAGTCATTTTGGCAAAATGGTCACTAAGTTCAAAATTTAACTTTTAGATTTAAACAATTTATTTTTTATTATTTTAACTTTATTTTACATTTTTACTGCCAATTTTGTTACATTTACTACTTAGTTTGTATTTAACCACAAAAATATATTTAAAAATCAGAAATGTATTAGATTGAATCCAAGGGAAACAAATGTAAAAATTCTAGTTAAATTTAGAAAAACAATAATAATTTTAAGCGATTGAAAACACAAAATCAGTCTGCCATTGGAGAAATCAGCATACCAAAAAGTCACACAGCGACAAACACACACATTTGCTTCTAATAAAAAAATTGCGTTAAAATGATCAATCATCATATCCGCCATTCAAACTGCTTTAAGAAACGATATCATATGGCACATTTGAAATGCTGCCACTCGAGTCCGTGAGGAGTCCAAGGCCTCTGTTCATCGGTAAGTAAACATAAAAGCACTTGACCTAATCATAGAAATTTTCACATGTTTCCCATTCGATGATTTCTAAACCAACTTTTTTTTCTATTTTATTTCTTTACAGATTACATTTCCTTCATCGTATTTCACATATAAATGTGGATCGACTCAGGAATGGATCATTCAAAGATCAATTTAAATTGCTCAAGATCAAATATTTCATCGAAAAATCGGAAAATCACATTTAAAATGGACTCATGAAACGAAAACTACTTCGCAATAAAAAAAAATATGGCATGTTCTATCAATTCAATGGAGCTATATGAGCAGTTCGCCCTCTAAGGTGCAGATTAGAAATGATAATTATTATCTTCGATTCCATGGCAACAGATCACTTGAATCGGTATGTAAAGTGCAGTAAATTGCATTTAATTTTTCAAAATCCTTCAGTAGCGCCAAAAGGATTTTTTTAATCAATTGTTTCTTTCTTTATAATTGCAGATCACATAAGTGCCTCAAGATCAATTGTCAACGATGGTAGATAGAATGAAGTCGCATCGAAAATAAACAACGAGCCCAACATGCTTATCCAGTTTAAATGTAAAACCAGCACTTTTCATCATGAGTGTCAATTCGAGAAAATCGCAACATTTCACTGAACGAAACTGAAGTCACTTTGAAAGGTCGCACAATTGCAAACAGAAAATAGGTTACTCTAGACAAATAAAGTAAATTAAATTCAAATCACATAAATATCAATAAATGTTAAGTTTTTGAAAATTCGCGAAAATAAGATTTTATGAAAAAATCCTTTAATACACGGCAACGATTGATTCGTTTTTTGAATTCAAACGATTTTTTTTTCACAGAAGTTAAATTAAGATAATTTTTGCATCAAAGAAACTATTACCTTTTATCGAAAAAAGATATTTTTTTCATTAAGAAAAAAAAAACACAATTGTAGAATTAATATCGTACAGGCATCATTGAATCAATCTATATTTTAATCATATATTTAATTATATAATCAAAATTATACGCCTTACGATCACTTTACATTGTAGTTCACTTTTGCCGATTACGTTCACTTACAAAACTGACATTTCTTTACTTTATCTCGTTTGCAAAAAAGTGAATAGTATAAATAAATTAATTCGACCATAATTAATTATTGGCTAAATCGGCTATTTTGGATCGTTAGTAGTCTGAATGCCAAGTTGGATATAATCATCTTAATTTGTTTCAAAAAAAAAAAAAACACAAAAAAACTGTCAAAACGTTCCAAATTAGCTAGTTGACTGATCAGTCAATATTTTTACACACAGGACCATTATTATAAGTTTCACTGTTATTTGATAGGAAAATTTAAGAAAGTTCAATAAAACCATGAAGTTTGTTGATGTAAACATACATAAATGATAGTTCCAAGTCATTGATACAAGTTTTGGGTGAAATTTCAGCTTCAAAAGCAGTCTTTTGATAAAGAGCAACGTTTTTTCTTTAGATCGAAATTTTTATACTGTGAAAGACTTGAAGTAATGTGCATTTTCTGCATGAGCAGGTTTGTATATAAAGTTAAACTTGTTTCTCTTGATCTCTCTTCTGATGAAATGATCTACTTTTGATGTTGTTTGTATTGAAAATGGTAAGTCTCGAATATTTGGACCGATCTTTTTGAAACATTGAAATTTTTTTTTGTATATTTACATACGTCTCGATTTATCTAAATTAAATACCAATACTGAGTCTCAATTGATAGAAAACTAAACCTGTAAGTATTGAACACCGGTCCTTTTCGAAAAAATTTTTTTCTAGTCAACGAAATCCCAAGAATCACTGGTAATGAATTATGGAGCAGTCTCTTTTAGATGTCTTTGTACATTTTAATTTAAAAGATCGGGGTCTCAATAGAGAAATTGTTTAGTTGATGCGATAAAATTCAGTACCGTGCTAAAAATATCATATTTTCAAATATGGCAAGTAAATTTGTAAGAAGAGCACAATAACTAATGATGGAATAATTTTTATTCAATTATCATATTTGATACATTATAATTATCATAACTAGTTTATTTATAAAAAAATGGTTCAAAAATTCGAAAGAGACAATCTTCAAAACCCAACCTCTTCAGTGTAAACTCGCATAACACGAAGAAATTTTCTACATTCCTCAAACGCGACTATGAATCACAAGAATGGGTAAGATTGTTTCTAACCAGATATGCACAATAAATCTCAACTACAAATTGGATTTCTTCTGACCACGGTCCATGCCCATATTCATTGAGAAACATGCTGCAATTCTTCAAAATGTCCATTGCTTTTTCTTCCACATAACAATATTCGAATATAAATTCAAACTTTGGGTCAACCATAATACTTTTTTGATCAATGTCAGTGTCCGTTGGATGACACCTTTTGCATTTGCAACTAAAATTCCAGTTCGATTGAAGTTTCTCTTGTCGTCCGTGCAGTGATTGTTTCCGTTTGCCCAAATAGCTAATAAATAGTTGATCGCCCCTCTTCACCGGTCGAATTGTGACTAGATGTTGTTTTCCAGCAAAATATTGCAGCAAATTTGGTGCACACGAATGATTAAACATTGAAAAAATATTGCCAATTGATGCATACGATTGATTACCATGTGAATTATTCAATATGACAAGAAAATGATGTGCAATTAAATGTTGTAAAAATCGTTGCTTTTCTTGCGATTCAAATAACGCAGCAATTTTCGGAATGCTCATTAAATTCGTATAAATTGTATGCACAAGCAATATATCTTCTATAGTCGGCTGTGATTTGCTCAATTGAAAAAAGAAATGATAGTTTGATGTGGCATCATGCAACGATGTTGGTA